ATGGGACACAATAACTAACTACATTGTATATTGACAAAATAAAAATAAAACAAAAAATATATATTTTATAAATTTTAAAATTTAGTACCAAATTATGAAAAATTGAGCAGACATTTTGGGGTGGAGTGATTACCATTGTACAAAATTTTGCAATTAAAGACCACCAACATTAACTTAAATAATTTTCTGAATTTGAACTTCAAGTGCTCTTGGCGATTTTATCTAGGGAAATAACAAGCATCAAATAGAAAAACATGTATTGCCTTGGGTTGAACATTTCCCCCAAACTCAACCCCCACTGTAACTGTTGAGGGTGGGAAATCCTATTATGGTAATTGAAATGTGAGGCCTTGAAGAGGTGATTAGATTGTAGGACCATTCCACAGGGATTAAAAATGGTGATCACAGGTATGGTTTGGAGGGCTTTAAAAAGAGAATGAATGAGGAGGTTAGTGTCTCTCTCTTTGCTGCATCATTTTCTGCCACATGAGACCCCTTTGAGTCACTGTCACCACCACCAAGTCCCTCATCAGATGTGTTCCCTGGACTTTGGACTTCCCAGCCTCTGAAACTATAAGCGATAAATTTTGTTTTCTTTATAAAGAACCCAGTTCTGTATATTTCATTATAAGCAACAGAAACAGACTAATACAGGTATTCTAAATACATTTTCTCTAAGGGACACACTTCTTTGTGTGTCGGCATGGGTGTGTGTAAATAGAAATTCAAATTGTGGGATTTTTTTCTTTCTTTTGTTGCTGAAATTCAAGCACTAAATGTAACTTACAGCAAGCCTATACAGCCTACACACAATATGAAGTCATTGTTGTTATTGGATTCAAATTTTCACAGAGCAGAAGAATTTGTATCTGAGAAGAGAATTAATTTCTATATCCACATGATATATAAGTGGTACAAAGGAAAATTACAATAGTCCCTTGCGAACTAAGATGTTTCTCTTGCCCCAGAATGCCTTGTTAACTTGACATTGTTGGAGAGTAAGAGCACATTTGGGTACTGTTATTAAAGTTGCAATAAAAATTGTTAGACAATTGCCCTTAATGTCACAATAAAAATTAAAA